GGTCGTCTGCAAACAGCAACCTTCTCGACTTCACATCTCCTACACCGATACCCTTATCGCCTTGGCAGCTTCTGACTATTCTATCCATGTACAACACAAACAGGACAGGGTACATGACGCAGCCTTGGCGGAGACCAGTGCAAACGTTGAATGATTTCGACTTAACGCCATTTTCTCTGACGCAGCACCTGCTATCGGAATACAGTGATTGGATGGCCCTTAGAAGCTGGCCATCTATCCTGTATGCACGCAGGCATAACCACAGACTGTTGCATGGGATCCAGTCAGTGGCTTTTTCTAGGTCAACCAAACGTGTATACACGACGGGTATACTCCCATATTTCTCAACAATCTGGCACAAGGCAAATATATGGTCATAGTTGCTTAGACCGGGCCGGAAGCCACGCTGCTCTTGTGTTTTGGAGTCAGCTATTCCGCGGCACCTCGTTTCTAGCACCTTTGCGTAGAAATTACCTGTGGGGCTCAATGACGTAATGCTCCTTGTAGTCTCCCTTCTTGAGTAGGGATGCAATAACTCCCGTTCTCCAGTCCGCTAGTGTCTTTCGCCCAGTCATCGCAGTTTGACAGACACGTGTAAGCCAGCACATGCCTTGTTCACCTAATGCGTTGAGCATTTCATGGCGCATTTCATCAATTCCAGCAGCCTTTACATAGCTTGCGTGATTTCATCTTCAGAATTAGTAACACCCCTTACTTGCTCTTTTACAGGCGAGTCTTCTTGCGTTGCTCAGGTCTAAAAAGTTCCTCAAAATGCTCTCTCCATCGCCGAAGGATATCCCTATCCTCTGTAAGAGGGTGTCCAAACCTGACCTTCAAGACTCTTATACTGCCCTTCTTTACACCTCGGAGCTGGCGAATGGTCTGCCAGAGTACCTTGTTTGCCATGTGAAAACTTGACTCCGACAACCTCATTGAATTTCTCCCAGGAATGAGCTTTGACTTTTGCCACAGCTTTCGCTGCTGTCTTGCGTGGAGTTTCTTTGTTTCCAAGCAATTTTTTAAAGGCAGCCTTCGTCTGTTCAACTGCCAGCTGTGCCTCTTGTGTCCACGAGGGAGTTCTTTTCTGACCTCCAGGCGGCAGGCCAACCCGTTTATATCCGCAGCATTCGGCGGCAGTCTCCATTATGCCACTCTTAAAGAACTCGGTTTCCACATCGGCA